CGACACACACTCCAATCCACGGCAACAGGCACACGCACACACACAAACCTGCACTCTGTAATACTTTTGTTGTACAATTGTTGTGGTCAGTGCATGCGGTCACACACAAAAGGAGTGAAAAAAGAGGAGACCAGTACGGCTAGACATCAGACTGTAGGCTACCAGAAGGACGAAAAAAGGCAAGAGGGCCGCGCCGCGTCGGCAATCGGTGCGTCACTTGCCTGCAGACCAGACGTCGTGCGCGATTGGTGTCGCTCATTGTGACGCATCCGTCCTCGTAGCCCCAGAGGGTGGAACATCCAACGCCAACCCAAACACAGCTGTCAACACGCCATTGCCACAATCGTGAAGAGCCGGCTGGCACCACACACGGCAAGAAGGACACACCAAGACACGCCATGCACCAAAGGGGCGCATCAAGCCCGCAAACAGTGCGCACCGCTGCAACACCGCAGGGTCCTCCCGCACGCAACATCCTCCTCCTTCCTTATCTTCGGCTCATTGCCGCCACATCCGACACCTGCTCCTCACAATACCAGAGGGAAACACAAAACAGCTGAAGCAGCAACAACAACAACATTGCCACCTTGTTGCGCTGACGCCACTGCACGAAAGGATGCGCCGAAGACGGGAGTCCATCGCGCAGGAGACGGAAAAGAGCCCAACGAGACACCCAAGAGCCACACGTTGGCAGTCTTGTCGGGGCTGCCCCAATGCAACCACAACAATTAGTGCCGCAACCACGGAGCCATGCACCCTGACCCACAGCGTGTTTTCACAATCAGAACAGCAGGGACAGAAGGAAGTAAGACACGCCACCCAGAGTGCAGCAGAGCACCCGAAACACACACGGCCAATCAAAAACGGATGCAAAAAATCGGGAAGGCAGAAAAATAAAAAGGGCGCATGCAGATTGAAAGCCGAAGCACAGAAATTATTTGAGGTCCACATTCTCGCAATGACACACACAAAAAAAAAGCAAATCCACGAAACAAGCAAAAGTGTAAAAGATAAAGCCGCATGCACCAATTACGGAGGCAGAGGCAGTCGTCCCTGTCCTTCAGAGAAACAGCTACTGGCACGACCCCGCATCCATTGGAGCACATTTCCTTTACTTTTTACTCATGATTAGAGTACGGTGATTTCCCCTCGTCCCAATCGCATCAAAAAACGTGTGTATACATGTGGTGCTGGGAACTGTCTTTTCTCTCCATGTTACTTCGTTCACACACAGTTTTCACGGAAGTTAGACCCTCCAAGCAATAAAAAACAAAAACACCTTTTCCCAGAATAACAAACAATGCAATAAAAGACCGGTCATTTTGCCCATCCCCCGCAAGCAAAGGAGGACATGGGGAATGCGGTGAGTGTATCATAGTGTTATTGCTACGGCTTTGCACATCTTGAGTGCGGGGCCAATGTGCCAAGTAAATACTGTCGCCCTGCCGCAATTTGATTGCGCCCAGCCGCCGCGGCTGCTCAAAGAGGCACCACCGCCACCGCCGCAGCGACCACAACAAGAAGCACAAAGGGAATGAGGCCAGCAGTAGCAGCAGCCACACTGCCATCACTGTCGGCCTGCTGTACCAACGCATCGGGTATCGCCTGAAAATCGACGCTGTTGACGGACGGAATCGGAGTGGCAGGCGCGGAGGCACTGGGAATCACCGCTGGGCAATCCGCCCGCGGGTCGCCCTCCGCTCGTGCAACGTCCTCGCCGGGTGATGGCGCAAAAAGGGCGTCGTGGCCGGAGGCTCTGTTGGCTCCCTCGCTTCCACTGCCAGGTCTCCTCCCTCGCCGCTGAGTGTTGTCCTCACTTTCGGTCTGCACCCCCGGATCACCCCTCGGACCGGCATGAAGGCCACCACCAGCGACACCCGCAGCCGAAGCACCGGGAGGCTCCTTTTCAATGGAGGCACCAGACGCCACAGGAGACAGCTGTGGACGAGTATCTCCGGAGAAGGCGACCCTGAAGCAACCGCCGACTCTTCTGCTTCCTCCTCTTGATCGTCACCCTGTCCACCCACCAACGCACTCGGAATGACAAGACTGCTGCCGTTGGCGGCAATGGTGCACACCTCGCCGTACGTGGGGCACTTGATCTTCCCATCTTTCAGAAAATCTTTCAACGTCACTGGGATGTCAGTGTCCTCAGGGCAAGGCTGAAACCCACTGCTGCCGAGGTGCCTCATCCTCACTGTGCCCTCCTCACACGACACCTGCGCGCACACTCCTTTGACGCTTTTATGGCCATTACCGTCCTTCGTCTCCAGTAATTCCGCGTCCAGGCACCACGAGCCACTGCCAGTCAGCGACCCACGGAGATAATCCACATTTTCGTCCGAGCACGTCCTGTACGTTGTCCCAGACGATATTTCGTGAAATTCGGAAGATACGACAGGGCAAACGTCCTTATCCACCAGATTCCCCTTTCCCTCAACAATAGTTGCGGTGCACATCCCAACGTGACGGCGGTCGGAGGTGCAGCGAAGCGTCTCTGTGTCGGTAGCATCGCAAAACATGTGAGGATACTTGGCGGCAAGATTATCGGTTGTATTGCACTTCTCCAGGAAGTCGCAGCCACTGCGGCTGCCCCAGCTCATCGGCTCCACCATGCTCCAATTCACGCGGTAGTATCCCATATCCGCAAAAACCGCCATCGTCAGAGCCGTGTAGTAGCCGGCACCAACTCTGGGAGCCATCAGCTCGTCCCGCGCGTGGCGTCCCTTCCAGTGAGGGACTTCTTTTTCTCGAGGGCCATCTTCATCCTCCAGCTCCATGCCCTCGAGAGAGTCACATCCAAAGTGCGCTTTCGTCTTCTCCTGAACGTGCTTCCCTGCCACCATCCTGCGGTGCTTCCCACGCACACTTCTCTCTCGCTTCTTCACCAGACTCTTTTCTCTCATGCTCTCCTGGCTGAACCCAATTGCATGCGAAATTTCGTGTGCGGCAACGCGAACGCTCCACGCCGTGTCAGTCATGTACTTCGGGTCAAAGTTCATGGCGCCAATAAAAGCTCAAAAATCTGTCAATGTGTTACACGTGGCCGCCCACACAGCCCTGCTATCCGTGCCCGATCGCCTAGCAGCAGCGTAGATGATAAAATCTGCATTCGGCACACCGTCACTCTTGTGCCTGGTAGGAACCGTAAAGTGGCTGCACGGTCCATTCGTAGCCCTCGGTACAGTTATCGTCCCACCAGTGGGTTTCACAAGGACTCGCTCAGCGTGCAGTTTGACGGCACCGGGAAGAATCCTTCAAGTGTACAATTGTGTTTTTGCCTCCGTCAGGAAATGCTCTGCTTTGCATGACACCCTTTGCCCCAAGGCGTTGTAGCACTCATCCTCTCCCTCTTCGCAGTACTTCCTCTTGTTCGTGCCTCTCTCCAGATCCTCCGTGGACACCGCAATGCGGATCGGCTCCCAGCCACTGTCGTCATCCTGTGTGGCGACGGTGTACGCCTGCATGGCGCCTTGTCCCTTGCGCGGCACCTCACGCACCACCGCAGTCAACAGCGGGCCGTTCCCCCTCATCAGCACGTCAAACCCAAAGCGGTATTGTGTGGCTGGTACAAGGGCAACACCACCAGTGGGAAAAGCGGCGTGGCGTGGCGTGGCTGGCGCATGACTTGAGTAAATTGCATTTCTTGGTTTCGTGTGAGTACCAGCAGTAGTGCAGCCTGGATGCGGGAGGAGAGAAACAAAGGAAAAAGAAGAGTAAGAAAAACAAAATGGCTTTAGGCCAGTAATGCGTCAGAATGTGGCCCACGCAGCGGAGTAACAGGAAACCACAGAGGCGGCCATACACACAGCATGCGCACCGGCTCCATCAAATGGACAATCCGTCAATCCGCCGTCGAGAGAACGTCCATCACCGTCGCACAGAGTCCTCACAAGACGCACCGCTCCCTCCACGCGAGGTGTTTGGTCTACTCTCCTCGTGGTGTCGCAATATTTGTGTGATCGGCCACTCAACATCCGCCAAAGGCACAGCACCAGTCACAGGTGCAGGAGCATCGCACAGCGCGCTCTCCCAGCAGATCATACCCTGTTGCATAACCGCACGGCAACCCCAATTGTGATGCGCAGCCCTGAGACGGAGATGCAAGGAGTCATGCGGACGGACCTTCTTTCACTGCTCTCCTTTCGGGAACTCGACAACAAGCGTGCCGGCGGTGCGATCATTATGGCAGTTCCATCCGCACTGCCACTGGCCAAGGAAGTTACTGTGAGCTCACTGCGTTGAGGTCACCGTGTCCGCCGATGCTCTCTTTCCACCGGCCAACGATCACGCCGGCACTTCCAACAGAGCGGATCGGAGCGTCGACAACGGGAGCCACAGGCGCCAACACACCGAGTCCAATGGTGCCCGCTGCGACATTCCAAAGCGCGCTGAGAGCTCCTCTAGCAGTGCAGGGGCAGCCCACTTGTGTGCGACATGGCGTGTGTGTGCATTTGCTTGTGCTTGTGTGTTTGTCAGCGCCTATAATTGCAGAGCAGCTGTGCGCCACAAGAGAGTCCAAATAAAGCAACGGCAGAGAGAGAAGCAGATATTGCACACACGCAAACCACTCATATCATCACACACAAACACACACGCGCAGCCCGTGGAATGGATGTGCTCAACCACAACACAAGTAAAACAATAAAAAAAAACGAAGCGTGGGACGACCAGCGCACACACTCTCATTGCTCCCGTAAAGCAAAACACACACACAGGGAGAGAGAGAGAGAGGTCGCCCACTCAATGCAATGAAAACAAAACAGAAACAGTTACGGTGCTCCGCCCATGCAGCCAGGCAGGACGGCAGCGGTGCGTGTGGTGCAAAAGAGAGCACCAACGGGCATGCATGGGTGTGCATGCATATATACAATGGGCACATTATGTGTGTGCTTCGTGGGGTGAGGTGAGGGCGGGAGTCCATGCAAGGGGACACACACAGAGAGTGAGTGAAAGACAAGTGTGTGTGCGGGCGGTGCACGGCTCTCTCTCCCTCACTCTCACGCGGCCACCACCGCACCAGCAGCAGCCGCACACGCAAAAAAAAGAAGAAGCAAAAGAGGGGAGGTGGTGTGGGAGACCGCGATGCTGCCGTCACTGTCGTCTGTTGCTGCCGTGCCGTTCAGGTTAGGGCCTTTGGCTGCAACGGTTTTTCTTTCGGTTGTCTCTTCCTTTTCTTTGACTTCTGCTGTTGTTTCTTCTGCCTTATCCAATTCATTTCCATTTTTTTGACTTGTTTTCTCTGCCTCATTGTGGGCATTGTCCTTTACGGCTGTTTGCCTTCCGTCAAAATTTTCATTTGTTGTTGCTTTTCCTGAACCTTCCTCTTCTCTTAGTACCTCTTCTTTGTTTTGTGCCTCCCTTTCCGCGGCAGGTGTTTCTTGATTTGATTTTGCTCCAACGGTTGTCTGTTCTTTTCCTGCATCTTCTGGTTGCGTCTTTTTTCCCGGGGTTCCTGTTTCTGTTTCGGCTGCATCGTCTTCGGTACTTAATTCCGCTGTTAAATTCTCTGCCTGTGATGGTCCTGCTGCTTCTTGCGTTTGCGTTCTGCCGGCGTCTTCTTTTCCCCCAGTCTCGTCATCGTTCGTTTTCTCAATACTTTGAGGATCCGTAACTTCAACAGGGGGAGCAGGCTGAAGAACTACAGGTGCGTCAGGGGATGTACCGTCGGTATCACCACCCAAATTCAACTCTTTTCCTTTTTTACTGCTTCCTGCATCTCCTTCCTTCTGTCCTTCACCCTCTTTGTGATCTGTGCCATCAGCTGAATCTTCAGTGTCTTCAGCATCTTCCCCGGGATCTTCAGGTTCGTCCTGTTTATTCTCTTGAGCCTTTTGCTTTTCTTTCTCTTCCAATTCTTTTTTCACTTCTTTTTCTTCTTTGGGTTTCACGATTTCTTCTTGAACTTGCAGCGTGACTCCGTTCTTTTCTTCCTGACCTCCATTTGAATTGCCGATGGCTGCATTGTCAACTTGTTTGTTATCATCGGTACTGTTAGGACCCTTTTCGGTGGTGGTTTCTGGTTTTGTCTTCAATTCTTCGCCAGCAATAGTTCCATTTTGCGCTGCTTCTTCTGGTACTTGCTCATCGGATTGCTGGTCATTTTGAAAAGTGTCCCCACCAGCAAGTTTGTTTCCTGGTGTCGGAGTTATTCCGTTTGTAGGAGGAGAAGAGGATTTTGTTGGTTGCTGAATCACAGTTGATGATTTCTGTGTGACAACTACGCTGGACGTAGCTTCCTTCCTTGGTGATGCCTCTTTTTGCTCCGTCGCTTGTGATGTTACTTGGCCCTTCGCTGGCGGTGTTGCTGCAGTTGGTGCTGTTTGTTCCACCGTGATTTCCTTCGCCCCAGGCCCTCGTGGTGCTTCTGTTGGATCGCCGTTGCTGTTAGAAGAGAAGCCAACGATGGCGTCATTCTTCACGTCAACGTATCTTCC